GCGGGTGACACCAGTTTAACCAATAAAACAATTTGAATCAATTAGCCGGCTGAGGAGAGTCCCGACGCGTAAAATGTATGTCAGCTCGAAGAGGAAAGCATTGATTAACTCGGTCTCGACCTGCCACCTCCTGCCGCTGCTAGATGCTCCTTGAGCCTGCCAGAGGTCCTGGGAGGACCAGGGCAGATTGGCAAAGATGGGGTGCTTTCTGTTCAGGGGGAAGAAGATGGCAGGACCTGAGAAGAAAGCCAAGGGGCTCAGAGACATGTAGGTGACAGAAATTTACCCACAGACTCAAAATATCTAAACAGTCTGTAATTCCACAATCCAAGTCCTGTCTTAAGGGGATGATTCTGTAGGAACAAATTTTTTCCAGTCATGACATCCCTCCTACTTTCCAAAAGTATAATTAGTTCGATTGCTCTAGATATCCTAGACACTTTGGGATGGGACTGTGTAAAAGTATTTTTCCTAACATCACATATTCCCCTTTCTAATGAAACTTTCTGCATTAAAATAGTCAGGGACTTATGTCCAGGAGGCCTTTAACAAGAATGGGTGCTTGTTCAAAACTTCAGGGAATGACATAGCATGTGGGTATGAAGTTATTCCTCAGTGCAAGGAAAATGGAGAACTCAGCCTGTTTCTCTTTCCAAAGGAAGCTTTGAGGACCATTAAAAAAGAAAAAAGTAAAGAGCAGTAAGGGAAAGAGGAGTCTTTGAGAGCAAAGATGGGAATCACAGTAAGACACAGAAATGCCGCAGAGCATCCTCCCAGCAGCCCCCAGGCTCCATGAGGTGATAAAACTTCTTTCTCTTCATTTTTTATCTTGAAATCCGACCCATCCCTGGGTCTCCAGCTCATGCTTTCTTTCCCGTATTCTGGACCTAAGAACTGTGAGCAGGTGGGGACATCTGTGGGAATCCCTGCCTCAGAGAGAAGGTGGCCAGGCCCAGGAACCTTGCGGCAAACTCAGGACCTTTCTGCGGGAAGGGCTCTGTGAATGACAATGGCCCTGTTTTGGCAGCTGGGCTGGGCAGACACAAAGTGTGAGTTTTTGAGTTTTCCTTCTTTTTTAGAATGGCAGGCTGGTGGGGTCCTGGCAAAGGAGCTCCCGGTAAATCTCTATTACAAACTGAGCCTAATTTGTGCCTCTTACAGAAGATGGGGTGACAAATCATTTCACTGCCAGTTGAAACTCAAGCCTAAACAAATTTTCGGTACTCTGAAGCACTTTTTCAGGGATATTCAAACAGCCACATTCTTTAGAAATAAACTCCTGTGTTTATGTTCAATGGGTTCTTGATTTTTACTGACTACTGACCTGTGATGAAATGTTTGCACCTTTTCACTCTTGTATAGTGGCGCTTTGTTGCAGGTGCTGTAGCAGTGTCTAGTCAAGCTTTGGGCTCAGTGGACAGGGTTTGGCCATTTCCACAGTGTAACTACCCAGCCTTATGCCTAATGTGTCTTCTCCAGGCAGCAGTAAGTAGAAAATTCAACAATGACAGCAAAACATACTTTCAAGGACTCCACCCCAGCAGGTGTCCTTTTTAAAATGCCCTCCAAATAGAAACCAGTTTTATTTCCTGATAAAAGTGGTGGCTGGTCATTTATTTTACTCTAATAGCTCATAGCTTAGAGAGTCAAAAGATATTGACACTTGATTAATATTATGGAATGAGTCTCACACTGAGGAAGGGAGGAGAAAGGATTCTTTCTCACCCTAGTTGTTAGTTTGTTGTTGCTGTTTCTTTTTAAGGGCTTGCTGGGAATTTGCTCAGGGGCTTGTTTGTTTGAGGATGCCCTGGTTTTTTTCCCTTCACCCTTTTTATAGAGCTGAGGTGCCCTGCGTGGGCCTTCTAGGATGGAGTGGGAAATGGTCTTGAACGAAGTTGTGAGATGCATGCACCCGTCCTCACGCTGGGATCCCCACGTAGTCACAATAAGAAAAGGCTGCAGCTGGCCTGTATCTCGTGCTGTAAAGGCAAAGTCAATTCTGCAGCAGACACTCCATGCTTTGCTTCAAGTTTCCACAGTGGGCACCCGAAGTGGAAACTTCTGCCTTCCCCTACCCCCCTCATTTCAACAGTCTTTCAAAGGTGGCGTAGACTTGGTTCTGTTCTTCAGGCTGTGGTTTCTGTATCTTGAGAGGCACAGTACGACTCCGACTCCGGGTTTGGACCTAGAAGAGTGTTCATCCATGAGGGCGGATGGCCTGCAGAGATGAAGGGAGGGGACCAAAAGGCTAGGTGTCCTCCTGAAATCAGGGCTTCCGCAGGATCCAGGTTCCAGCTCACTCAGATCTGCGGCCCAGGCACCACCGGTGCGTTACGCTGCGAGGCTGGAGAGCTTGTCATTTGAGGGCCGGTTGGGGGTGGTTTGCGGGCCTGCGGAGAGAGGAAGTGGATCCGGCTCGTTCTCGCTGGCGCTCGCCCCCTCCTTCCCGGTAACATGCCGGCCCTTTAATGTGGAGTGTCAGGGAGACGGTGACGTCACCCTGCCCGCTGGGTGGCGTCCCCTCGGTCCGACACGAGTTCAGAGCTAGAGAAAGGCGCTGTCAGACTGCGCTCCACCTGGGGCTCTCCTGCGCGGCTTGTCACGCAGCCACACTTTCTGCTGCGGTCAAGGGGACGCCCCCCAGCCGCAAATCAGGCAGCCCTGGTGACCCCGGCCATCAGCGCTGACCGCTGACCGGAGCCCGGATCTTTGCGCGGAGCCCGCAGGAGTCCCTGCCGCCGGATTCGAGGACCCGCTTGGATGCTTCGCCTCCGAGCGCTCTCGGGAAATGGGCCGCCAGCCACGCGCGTAAAGACACCCCAGGGTTACCAGGTACAGCAGGCATCCGCCGGCCCTTCTCGGCGCCCTGGTCGCAGCTCCAGGTTGGAGACACCTCGCTGTGGGGTTTTCGGGGCTGGGTTAGAGGGTAGGGGCGGCCTTGGGGTGGTTTGGTGACTAGTTCGCAGGCCAGGAGAACGAAGTTAGGGGCCACGGGCTCGTCCGCTGGATAAGGAAGTTCACCACCTTCCTTTCTCAGTTCAACTAACTTTTAATTGTCCCTTCTTCCTTCAGCTCCTTAGAAATAACACAAAACCTCCCAAGCTAAACCTTCTTTATTTGCGTCTTGTCGGGTGGGAATTTCTGAAAGCGTTTAGGGTCAAAGTGTTGGACGACAGGCTGGAGACACGGTTCTCATGGGCCCAGGGCCGCTAAAGCCGCCTGTCCCTCCCTGGGAGCCTCCCCGCAGGCCCGGGCCGGCTGTGCGTGGCGACGGGGAGCGCGCGCGTTATCCCTGGGTGCGATTGCCATCCTAAGAATCGCGTTTGGAAAGCCCCTAAGCATCTGAAGGTTATTCAGCCAAGCTCAGGCTGACTGGATCAGGCCCAGGTATCGCTGTACCTGGAACTGCCATTTAACACCCTGGAAATATTGTCTCTGGTCTGTCCAAAGTGACAAGGCAGGCGCTCATCTCGTTTGAGTGCGTCGAGGTTCGTTCCCCTTCGTGGAGGCCCTGGGACGTAATGGGAGCTGAGGAGCTAGAGGGCATGGGGGTCCAGACAAAGCCAGTCAAGACCCTTGGGGTGAGGGGGTGGGGTCGCGTATCCTTTGAACCCGCTGTAATGACATCCCTCGGTGGACACGCTCAGGCCCGCCAGTTAAGTGTTCAGGGCAAAGGATGGTCTTGGGCCACGTTCAATTGCGAGTGACTACGGAAAAGATCATTGTTCTGGAGAATGGACCACGTCGCTGGTTCAAACTTCACAGTGCTGTCAAGAGTCTTCTTTCTCTGGCATTTCCCATCTTCCCAACTTACTGGATCTTTCTCCCTACTTAGCTCCCGTTTGGTGTCCTGATAACCGAAGATCAAAGTGGAAATTTTACCACATGCCTAATCTGGCGCTTCCCCCTTAGATACTTCCACATTTTATCTGGTCCACCTCTTACCTATATATCGGGCCACCTATCCCCCCACAAAGCCAGAAACATCGACTTAAATCAGAGGAGGAGGAACCGCAAAATGTTCAGTGTCACAGAAGGGGGGTCCCATTACAACATATTCTTCTTAATGTCCTCTCATAAAGAGCTCTAGGAAGTACTGTTCCTGAGCTCAGTTCATTCACTTGCGCACGCTTATTTGCTCCTCACGACGGAAATGACTGAAAATCACTTCTCAGATATCTATGGGTCACCAGCACTCTTAAGCCATCTTACTTAGGCCAGAACTATTTCCGCTCAGCATGTGGGTTTTGGGGAGAGTGAACGTGGAATGCCCTGTTTCTGTGCAATTTTGTATAGGGTACTGCACAGTTTCCAATTTAAAAAAAAGAAAGAAAAATTCTATCTACAGTATCAAACGATCCAGTAGCCAGGAGAATGAAGCTGGGCCTGTATCTTTTGCTTTTCTGAGCTGCAGTGAACGTCCAGTAGTGAGTTTCCCTCGGGGAAACCGCAGGTACCACGAAAAGTCATTTTTAAAAGGGTTGGGTTTACTTTATTAACCAAAATCAATCTATTTTCAAGAAAACAGGAACAGAATCCCACTAAATTTGAGCACCTATGGCAGGGCCCCAATTTCCCATAACTTTTACGATCTCTGCTGGTTACAACTGTTAACTTATTTCCAGTGGTGGTGCCGTTTTATTCGAAAAGTTTCTATAAATCAGGGAAAGGACTTGAGTGCTTTAGGAACTGATGCCTTTTTAACATTACTCATTCCTGCTGAAAACGTTAAAAAGTAGCTCCAAATCTCTGCTTCAAAGCATTTCTAAAAGGTGATTTTGAAGGGGGGGGGAGTGTTACTTGGATCAGGAATTTGGTCCCCGGGCAGCAACAGTAATGTCTTAACCAAAACAAGGAAGTTATTTTAATTGCTCAGCCAGCGACCCCCTCCCCACCCCATCCCTTCTCCTGTATTCCCGAAAAGTGAACCCTTTCTCCTCTCCCTTCCAGATTCCAAGGCTGACCCGGAGGGCTTGCCCCGGGACTGGGCGGCGGGGGAGATGGCTTCCAGCCCGCTGCAGGGGCCCAACGACATCCTGCTGGCGTCGCCATCCAGCGCCTTCCAGCCCGACGCACTGACCCAGCCGCGGCCGGGCCACGCCAACCTCAAGCCCAACCAAGTGGGCCAGGTGATCCTGTACGGCATCCCCATCGTGTCGCTGGTGATCGACGGGCAGGAGCGCCTGTGCCTGGCGCAGATCTCCAACACGCTCCTCAAGAACTTCAGCTACAACGAGATCCACAACCGGCGCGTGGCGCTGGGCATCACGTGTGTGCAGTGCACGCCGGTGCAGCTGGAGATCCTGCGGCGCGCGGGCGCCATGCCCATCTCGTCGCGCCGTTGCGGCATGATCACCAAGCGCGAGGCCGAGCGCCTGTGCAAATCCTTCCTGGGCGAGAACCGGCCCCCGAAGCTGCCCGACAACTTCGCCTTCGACGTCTCGCACGAGTGCGCCTGGGGCTGCCGCGGCAGCTTCATCCCCGCGCGCTACAACAGCTCACGCGCCAAGTGCATCAAGTGCAGCTACTGCAACATGTACTTCTCGCCCAACAAGTTCATCTTCCACTCGCACCGCACGCCCGACGCCAAGTACACGCAGCCCGACGCGGCCAACTTCAACTCGTGGCGCCGCCACCTCAAGCTCACCGACAAGAGCCCCCAGGACGAGCTGGTGTTCGCCTGGGAGGACGTCAAGGCCATGTTCAATGGAGGCAGCCGCAAGCGCGCGCTGCCGCAGCCCGGCGCGCACCCGGCCTGCCACCCGCTCAGCTCCGTCAAGGCCGCCGCCGTGGCCGCTGC